AAGAGTGAAGTAGTTCAAATAAAAAATATTTGAGTTATTAAATTATAAATTCAAAATCAAAAACATCTGTTCAATATCAAAAAAGCAAGTTCAAATTCAAGTACACATTGTGATCATAGTACTGTGGAATACTTTATTTTCGCTGGAATTAATGTTCGCTGAAAAGGCTTTTTGGGCATTTTGTATGGAATTTATTTTCACTGATTTTTTATGAGTTTAATGTGAAATATAGGAAAAAAAGTATATTCGCTGGATTTTATTTTCACGGAATCACCCTTTCAGCAAAAATAGCGAAAATAAATTCCAAGCGAAAATAAAGTATTGTACAGTATGTTAAGAATGTGTTGAGACACCTCTTCTAATTGGAGAATTTTCGGAAATCCTAGTTGCTAGGTTACCATGTACTAGATACATGTAGTGTTGACCTGCAATGGGACAGTGACCTCATCATGTCCACCAAACAAAAAATTTAAAAGTGTCTGAAATATTTGTTTTCTAAAATCAATGCAAGTAAGCCATCAAATTTACATTTACCGGTATTTTGATTTTTTATAAAAATTTTATTTATTTTTTGTACTTCTGACAAAAATCTAAAAAAAAGCTTTGAAGTGCAGATTTTGAATCAACGCAAAATAACCAGAAACAAAAAAATGTTTTCCCTTAAATAATTAAGTACATTAGGAACAAAGTCATGGATCCAAATTTGTTAATTTGGCATGTAGCAATTTCAAAATTGGTTGGTCAATGCATACTCACCATGTCAGAAGCTGATCTACTTCTGTCTTCTGTTATATATAGTTTTGATTCGGTGTCTAATAATTTATGATGTAAGTTCATATTGTCTTCATGTAATTTACTTTCTTTGTCTTTTACTGAATTCAGCTGAAGTTTCATATCAATTGCAGTCTGTTCTTGCATAGCTCTGTGGTATTAACAGATAATGACAATACTATGAACCGTACAATTGTCATTTTTAGGAATGTTGTCTACTAACTAGACAGTATGAAAGTCGCATAGTACTTTGGTTTTCTATCGAGTTTCAGATCAACATTAGATAGTGTTGATCTAATATTGATCAGAAACTTTGATAACTATCAATATAATTAGCAGACAGTGAATAAATGAATTACAGTTGTTTTTTTGCCTATAACTACAGACATTACCAACAATCGATTTTCGCCAACACGCCTGTAGTTATTTGGTTGTGGGTAGAAAACAAATGTAGACACAATCCTCCAGCCTACAGCATTGCTAATGTATTGTTCTCAGATCATTCGCACAACAGGAAGTGTTAAAAATTATATTTTCCAAAATAGTAAAAAAAACACAATATAGCATTACTGGTCGTCAGGTAATCCTTAAACAAACATTGGTACGGCTATGCACCACTGTATGCACCTATATCAAAGCTTTCCTAAGATACATACTTAGGTTGTTATAGTAGCATGGTTAGTAACTTGTAAGAATGTCTCAATCACAGATAAATATTTAATTTTACTCATGTTGCGACCTTAATCCACATAAAGTAATATGTATCACATGGATCTATCATGCAATCCAAAAAAATGTAGGCTTTTCAGTGCCAAAGTAAATTTTCCATACCTTTCACAAAATATAAATTAACATAAATTTTTTCATATTTTTTCCCAAAATTTTGATCAAGACCTGTAGCAAAAAGGGATTTATGTCAATTAGGTTCAAAATTATCAACAAAACGTTTATAAGAAAAAAAAGAACACCTACAAAATAATTTTGCCAGAAAAAAAAAATATGGCACCCAAAATGTTCACTATGAGTAAAATTGAATTTAGTCACAATTTGCAGCACAAGTATAAATTTTTGAGTTAACAACACATCTTGTGTATCATATCATGCAGTGCAATGAGCCACGTTTTGATGAAATATGTAATTGAAACAATACCTTTCTAATTTTTCTTGTTGTAGTTGATTTCGAATTTTAATAACTTCATCTCTTTCTTGCTGTAAATCCATTTTCAACGTAGCAGATTCACGTAGATGCAACTCAGCTGCTTGTTGTCTCATTGTGGCGTCATCTAAATCTCGTTTTAGATTTACAATCTGTTAGAGAAATTCAATAAATTTATTTCTGGTTTAGAAATTCATCATGGATTTTTTATCTTTATATATTGTATTTGGAAACAATTTCAGTGTTTTTATTGCTTGCAGCCAATCAGGCACAATCTTTTAAATAGCTTTGTATTGACTCTTAACTTTTACCTTTCTTTCTAAAAGTTCTATTTTTTGCTGGTACACACTATCAGAGAGTTCACCATCAATATGTCTTCTGGATATCTGTCAAATAAATACAAGACAAACCATTAATTCTATTTAATAATATCTCAGTGGAAGTTCATCACTTCATGCACTTTTTTTCTTATATTTTTCAATATTTCTGGAAATGAAGCCTAATTTTGAAGCCAACAGACAACATTTGAGTCAATTATCAGTTTTTACTCAATCTTTTGCTGTCCCAGTCTTCTGAAGAAAAGTGCAGACTATAAATAGGTTATTTTTGATGAAAAGAGGTAACTGGCTGTGAAGAAGTTAAACTTGGAACAGATCGAAGTACATTATGTTCATAGTGCTACATAATCTACTTTTATATCAAATACAATCATACTACACTGGTGACATCATATGAGGTATTACTGTGAACTGCTTTACTATATAACTATTTTTTTTCACTGGCATTTAATTTCACTATTTTTGATGTACGAGCATTTTCACATGAATTTAAGTTCACAAATTTGGCAGTGAGTGAAACATGAGTTCTATTGTTGTTTCTCTTGTTCACGTGTGTTAAATTTAGCGGATTTCACTTATCAGTGAAAATAGCAAAATTAAAACCTGAGGAATAATTTATACCATTACAGTACTTCATCAGATGCAATAATTACCCAGAATTCACCAAGATGGGAATTAATACCAAATTTACTAGCATTGTAATTTTACTGTTATTTTACGAACTATATGCACTTTGAGTCACCTCCTAAGATTACACAGTGAAATTTATTGTTCAATATGAGTCCCATAAATTGTACAAAGTATGTTAAATACATTGTCTGTTTACACAAAATTCAAATGTCTACTTGCACAACTATTGTTTACAGTATCTAATTTGAATATTTAATTATCATAAAACTTACCCTTTCTATTTCCAGTTCTAGTTCATGCTTTCTTTGTTCTGACGCAGTAAGTTTATCAAGAACATCTTTCAATTGGTTCCACACCTAGATATCAACAAGTATTAACATTAAACAGTGAATCTGTCTGGACTGAACACATCCATCACTGAGGCAATTTACAATGGTGCAGTTTTATAGATGTCTTTGCAAATAGAGGGCAGACATTCACTCTGTCACATAGTAAATGATAAAGACAGTATTGCAATGATTTATGTGAACATTCATTAAAGATGTGAATGCAAATATGGAAGATTAGACTAATGATCCGATTTGTCAGGTTTCTTTGTTTACACAAGGTACAGGTTAGACTAAATTCTAGTATAAGCAGGGTTCAATTTAGACAGGTTTCCAGTTAACACAGTCATGGTTCAAATGTATAATAATAATAATTTATTACTGGATAATTTTGTAAAATTTAGATGAGGTTTGACAGGGTTCATTTGTTTTGAAGTGTTTTACTCTCCATACCTTAGTCAACTCTTCCTCCAAATGTTTATTCCGTGCTTCTAATTCATTGAACTTCTTCAATTCATCTTCACGTGCTGCTGAATTCAATCCATTCTCTAGCTTTTCATTTGCAGCTTCCTAACAAAAAAATAAAATAAATAAAAACAAAAAAATTAGTCATTAAAACTAGATAAAAACATTTAGAAAACATTTTATTTATTTTGTGCCTTGTTATGAGAGTTATTTTAGTGAAACTTAGTTTTTTTCACAAGAAAGTATTGATTGTCATTGCCTCAGTTTGTGAGTCAGATGATTGGAAATATAGAAAGACCACTATGAATTAACAAAACATGCATAGATAATGTTACAGACTTTTCAAATTGCGACAGTCTACGTTTAAAAAATCAGATAATCACAAATCGGGAAAATTGTCCCACTATGATCCCTAAAACTAGACTGACGTTGGTTCATATCACATTTAACATAAAAGTGAATAAGTGCAACTGAGGTCACCATACATTTTTGTCTTCAGAAACTGGAAGTTGATGTTTGATGAATTATTCATAGGGTTTCACTTCTAGCATAGCGTTAATTTAAGAACTAAAAGACCATTTCAATAAATTTCTTCAGTCTATTTTAGAGTCCAATCACATCAAAATACAAACTCAAACAATTACAGTGCTTATATAGTTTCCCTCACATTCAATTTAACCTTTATTATTTCCCCAAGGATTACATTTTAATAAAATTACTGTGCATTCAAAATCATATTTAATAAAATTTTCTCTCCAATTTCTATACCAGTGATGCTGTGAAACAGTTGGTAATAATAAATATTACTGGGGTGGGGTGGGGTGGGGTATTTACATTCAGGTGTCAGCTACCGCCATGGATTCTACTTTAGGCAAAATGAGGTGGATGAACAGCAAATTGATTTGCACTGTTTTTGATTACACAGAGGAGCCAAAGACAAATTCTTACATGCACCTTATGGGTATTCTATCCTAAGTGTTATTCCCATTTAATTGTAGCAGTGTCTGTGGTGGTGTTTGAGTGCATAGCTGACTCTGTGAATTCTCGGCTAGAATGTCCTTTTACAAAGAAGCTACTTATGATGGTAAACCATGTATGTGCATCCATAAATGTTTATGTAATGGCTTAGGAAATCAGTTTGAGAGTAAAAATAAGTCTACACAATAACAAAAGAGAAGAAAACAAATCTTGCAAGAACAGTGACTGAAAAAAAAAGTATTTATCATGCAAAAAAAACACAAAACACTCATTTGATTGGAGAAAAGAAAAGAAAACAAAGGTAAAACTAAGTGAATGTAAGTTTTTGTACCATCTTCAAACCAGTAGTGTTAACTGGTCATTTTGTCATCATGTAATTTTGATTGCAAACATTCAAAATTACTCGTACCATGGTACATTGACTAGAAGTACATGAGAACTTACATACTGTATTTGCTATATTAGAAGCACAACCCAAAATAAATGCATGCAAAGCCAAAATACCCTTTTTTATATTTTAACAATAAAAATCACAAAATAATGATGATTTAACATGATTTTTACATGAAGTGAAGCGCTTCTAATGTGACGAATACAATAGTGAAATTAATCCTTTTAAACACTATATTAAAAATCATCTGTTATTAAAATGTTATTTCCTTTCAGCTGTAAATGTAATTACGTATTGTACACAATGTATTACATTATATTATCTCAGTTATATAATGTAATAGGACACAAAATAGCAGGGAATGTCCATGGATTTAATCCAGGGGTGCAAGTGATTGAAATTTATCATTAAAACTCGTAATGTTGACACACTGAACAATGAAGAAAACGAAAAAGCTGTCAAACACAGCACATGCAACAAAAAGAATACATAAATTATAAAGTGCAACCAATTTTAACAGTTAATAATAATAACCAATTAACCATAGAGAATAATAGAGTGATATTGATGGAGAACTGTGAATAATTTTGGGGATAGAGGGCGCTGTTCTTCTACTTCCAATCACATAGTTCTAGTAGTTTTACAACTCTCAGCCAATCACAAAGATGTTGAGGCATTTTGCATACACACATTTCCAATTAAGTGTAATTTGAATAACTCCTCGGAAACAAATTTTCTGCCAAAATATTCATTATTTTGTCAACTGTTAAAGGTAACAACCAGTATTTTGATCATAAACCCCGAAATTTGAAACTAGAAAATTTTTATGCAATATGAAAGTAAAGAACAAAAGAGACCCCCTAGGTAAGGATTATTTAACTTAAGCCACACAGCATGCAAGGTGCCTACTTCATTTCTAACAGCGATTTGTCTCTGCAGCTCTTTCACCAGCTTGCGTTCTCTCTCAAGTTGCTGCGATAGTGACTCTTGACGCTTGGTGTTAGCCTCTTTTTCCACCTGCAGTTCTTGGTGTAGCTGTGTCACTAATTTATCTAATTTGCCCTGCAGATGTAATATTAATATTTCAAGAGAGAGAGGGAAATTGGAGATAAATAAGAAACAAACAAGCTTATTTAAAATTGTGTGATTTTTTCAGCTAGTTTTATTTATATCAATTCAGGGTGATTCCTGAATATATGGTAAAGGGAACAGTTGACATGATGAGAGTAAAGTATGGAACACTATTTGGGGGTAATAACAAGTTGAGTGGCTCTCTCATTTTCAACAAGATTTCAACAACAATTTGCAAATATGGTTCTATTTTTCAATGGTTAAAAAAAAAAAATTAGTGACAATTACACTTAAAAATACGGTGGTTGTCACGCAATGCAAGTGAGAGATTTGTGCTGATAAACACATTGATTTTACAACACCCCACAGTGCTCGACTAATGTGGCAACAAGTATGTGTGAAGGTTTTGATTGGGCAGTGGATTGTAATCTACCTAAATTAACCTTGGTACTGTCTGTTTTTATGAATAGTTTGCACACCACTAGAAGTTATTTCTGTTGATGTGTATGCATTGGATTGAAAAAAATGTTCATATAAAACTGTATCTGCCACATATGTGACTTGATGACCACTATCCTAAACAGAGAATTAAAGTGACTTTCAATTAATTCAATAGCCAAAATATTTCAGTTTTTCAACCTCAAAATATAATTGTCAGCTGATGTGAAAACACATATGTCAATGAAAGGTATACACCCTCTAATGGCACTTATCTGACCTGACAGTACTGGGGGTATTTCTTTTTTTGTTAAATTTGGGAAGTATTTTGACATTGTCACCAAAGATTACACAGACAACTTCAAATCCAGAATTTAGAGCAAAGACTTTTCAGCAAAAGTCAGGTCTAATTTTTGGAAATTTTAACTATTCTGCAAATTCATGAATAGAAGTAAATTTTATTTAAAAGTGTGTTTGCAACTTTTTATTTCTTGGCTAAAATAAAGCAGCTTACAGTAACATCTGCAGGGCTAGAAAAAATATTATCTAAATATATATAATAGCATATTTACTGAAAAGTAGAAATAGATCATGTCTTACTTGTCCATCTTTTGATGTCTCATACTGTGTGATAATTTGTGATGAGAGATTTGACACTTCATCCCTTAATGCGTCAGACTCTGCCTCGGCAGTCTCTGCTTTTTTCATACTTAACTCAAGTCTTGTCTGCAAATCTACAAATAGAAAAAACAAACATTACAAAAAAAGTTCCAATCTAGTTTTAGCTATATTTTTACTGATTGCCAAATTACTAATCACTAAACAAGGGGGTCATAATAAATAAAATAACTAGTAATTTTCTATAGTGGGCTTGCAAGACATTTAATGTCTAAAATACATTTTGATGCTGGCTTTGTGAATAATGGAACTTATTAGACTAATGTTAGGTTATAGTACACACATTTTCATAGAAATAGCAATGGTAACAACATTGTTCTGATTATTTTGTTGTTTCAAGTACAGTATATAATCATGTAAAATTGACCAAAAGCACAAGAAAACATTTTTTATTTTAATAAATAGAGATACTGTTAAAATACAAAATCTTTCAAGAAATCCAATGCAGGTACAACAAGATTTATCAAACCAATTTAGAAACAAAAACATGTCTGCACAAAAACAAAAGCAAATCATCCATTCAACAATGAGGGCACTCTACAATCCATCACTGCTCTAACAAATGTATACAGAAGCCATCCCATAAGGAAGTGATGGCAAACAAACTGTAATGTAAGAAATCAGCAAAACTGTTTCAACCAGTTTTGCAACAAAAACAATTTGTGGTGTAGTCAAGATTATGTCACACATCATTTTGATTGAAAGAACACAATATAAATTTAAGTGTTATCTCATGCAGTTAGACCTTTATTTTTCTGTGGGAGAAAGCATATACCAGTATTAAGTGAAACATATTTGGTATACATGCCACTGTTTTTTTGTTTTTTTAAGTTTTAACATGCTGTAAAATGACTAATTTTCACTGTGTTTAAATTTCGCTGATTTACCATTTCAGGCATATTCAGTAGGTTTTAAATTCACGGTTTTATCATTTAGATAATGTGTTCTATGCTAAATTTTACATACTCACTGGGTTTTAATTTAGTGCATTTTCCAGTCAACAAAAAAAGCAAACTTAAAACCTAGTGTATAATTAACCCTTTACAGTACCACTGTTTTTTTTGTCTGTGTTTTGTTCATTGTTTTTATTATCATCTATCCAAAACATGTTAAGTGAACAAATAAATAAATATAGAAAAAAACAAAACAATTTCCTTTATAAATACTGGTTTCACAACCATACACAAATGTACCACAACAAAATCATTGATTTAAAGACTCATGAATTAAATCTGAATTCACTGAGCAAACTGTTTGCGTTCATTCAATTGTTCCACTACAATGGGTATTGTACTTTGACTTGGCAATGATCCAAGATTACAAATCAAACACATTACAGAGTCAACTTTAAATAACGAGTTCCTCACTGTTTTGTAATCACTTTGTTTTGTGTAAAGACAAACATAACAACAAAATATACAACATATGTATTTTTCATTATTACCAGGTGAATATGGAGCAATTTTAATATAATTTGTAGTTGTGTAAATAAATAGTTTATTACATACATGTACATATGTATACCACTTGAAACATATCATATACAGACATTGACGCAGTGCCCTTCAAAACTAAAGAATTCAAACAATTCATGATCAGTTTTAAAATATGTTGATATTGGACAAAGTCAATTTAAGGATTACAGTTATATACACTATACACTTGGCATTACATTGTTTTTTTTCTTTCAACATGATCTCCAAAGCAAGGTTTGTCACTCTGAAATATGTCCTATACTATGTACACAATATGAGTAAAATACATTGTTTATTTACATGAAATTTGAACACACGCTGTGTGACGAGCGTGATGCTGCAATGACAATGCTTGATAGGTATGTCGTATACAAACAAACACACACATTTTAAGAGCAATAAAATGCACATACTAGTACGGGGGGGGGGGGGGTTTGCATCAGAAACACACATTATTATTTGTACTAACACTGAAACTTGGTTGTGATACCAGTTTAATGGTTTTAAAAGATTTAAAACATATATACAGCATTAAATATTTCAGTTCCACATATAACTAAGGAAACATAAAGTAAATACTGCTGTGCTTGCCAGCAACATGGTGCTTAATTGACAGGACCCCAGATTCAAATCTTTCAAAGTACTGTGGAATACTTTATTTTCGCTGGAATTAATTTTCGCTGAAAAGGCTTTTTGTGCGTTTTGTATGGAATTTATTTTCACTGATTTTTGAAAAGTTTAATGTGAAATATAGGTAAAAAAGTATATTCGCTGGATTTTATTTTCACGGAATCATCCCTTCAGTGAAAATAGCGAAAATAAATTCCAAGCGAAAATAAAGTATTCTACAGTAGTCAACCCCTCACCTGAGTGAGTATGCCACAAGACTACGCTAAATAGGAATCAAAGCCACAGTCACTTTACCCTGAGTGGGAGTGCCAAATCCACTGACCATAATTAATTCACTACAGCTATAAAATCTGTATTAGTGCTACGGCTTCTTTTAAAATGGATGATGCAAGAATAGAGAGGTGGCTTCTAGTAGAACATTTACACATATGAGAAATGAGAAATTTTTGATTAAAAAAATCTAGGTGTGGCTTCTGTTTTAGAACTGTTCACTAGGTTGCCTGTATATATACAACTGGCTTTTAGCAGATCTTTTAAAAACTGGCTGCTATCAATAATTATGCGAGTCCTCCTTATGTATATGTGTAGTTTTCAAGACAGTGTCAATTTTGTGTTTGACCGAGTCAGGACATGGTTTCTGTGGCAATGTACTACATGTATATGAGTAATGGCACTTGCAATAAAAAAAGAAGTCACAAGACAACAGTGACAATATGTGTTCAGAACTTGCTCCTGGCACAAAATATATTTAAGAGATAGGGACGAAAAAAAAATTTACATTATAATTCTGTTTCCATGGTAATAATGTTTTTTAAAAAGTACAATGTGGCCGGAAATCAAATGATATCGCTATGACAAATGCATATGAAGCCAAGCAACAGTCTTAAGATGCACTCCACACAATAGCGTTCAGAACTAAACTCAATTCAACAAGCATAAAAGTAACCGTACCGAAACATAAATGCAATTCGAATCAATACAAAAACACACCTGTAGGCTAGGCTAGCCCATTATGGTACAGTCTTAAACATTTAATAGGCTTGTCTGGGGATGACAGTGAAGCAAAATATCAAAGAAACACAATGTCAAATGTAAAGATAATAAAAAAGCACCTTTGTGATTCCTCTCTGGTTGAGTATAACTGTAGACATCTTTGACTTTGAGGATAACCATATTTGTACTATTACAAGTGCATATACTTTAGAATACATTATTTTTGCTGGAATTAATTTTCGCTGAAAAGGCTTTTTGGGTGTTAAGTTGAATGTGAAATATAGGAAAAAAAGTATATTCGCTGGATTTTATTTTCACTGAAGCATCTTTTCAGCGAAAATAAATTCCAAGCAAAAATAAAGTATTCTACAGTACTCTATAGAAGTGCACATAAACCAAAATTACGCTAAACCAATGTATTAAATCATTAAATCATTTTGTCCATAGATACACCTCTATCATTTACATAATGCTTTATTAATAGAGTAAATATGGTAGCTGCAAAAATCCTTGAACTTAATTATTTTGAAGGCATCAACTGTGAACTACTGTAAAATATTTTATTTTTTGCTGGAAATAATTTTCGCTGAAAAGACTTTTTGGGTGTTTTGTATGAAATTTATTTTAATTATCGTTAAGTTTGACATGTTGAATGTAAAATACAGGAAAAAAGGTATATTTGCTGCATTTTATATTAACCGAAATCATTACTTATCAGCGAAAATAAATTCAAAGAGAAAATAAAATATTTTAAATATGTTATTTTTGATAACTCAATGGCACTCATTGGGACAACATTTTTTACTGAATTCTTGTGTTAATTATGTTGTTTTTCACGACTTACAAAACAATGTACAGTGACTTCAGCACTATAATCAACTGAAATCATGGTGTATACATGATATATATTCTAAAAGACCATAAATTATATTATAATGACCCAAGAATGCAATTATGTGTGCATCTATCAAAAATGCTTATTTTAAGGCCCCTACAAACAAATTGTCATTGCTACAAAAGATACAGTTTCTCTGAATCATGAAATTCATAAATATTTGTCCAAATTTTTCCCAGCCATGATATATAAATATATATATTAATGCTCTTTACATACATAGTAATGAGAGTAATTTAGCTGCACATTTCCCTAATTTTTGTTTCTATTTTCTCTATTATTTTAGTTAAATTAAATTTTTACAAATGTACTGTGTTTTTTTATATTTATTATAATATATTTCATTTTGCCAAAGGAGCCATATTCTATTCATTAAGATGATTGAAGCACCCATGCATGGATCAGGAATTTTATTTTCAATACATGAATAAAATACAACTAAAATAAATATCCATTTTTTGTTATCCACCTCAAGATCATGCTTCTTGTCTACAAAGGCATGTCTTTCATAATATGCTATATCTTGGAATTGATCAGACCAATTTGAACAACTTGTATCCAAGCGTCTCCAGAAGACACATGAATTCCAGACTGTAGCATTGATCTTCCAATGAAGTTTGTACCACACTTACTGAGAATTAGTGGGTCCACCCCTTGTTGATAATATAGTATTCTTTTTAATTTAATAAGTTTTCTTGTGGTGGAAATTGAAAAAAATGTACTTTAAGCATACACTCTAATCTGCATTGTCCTAGTAGGTGAAAGTAACATGACATACATGCCGGCGTACCACATTGTACAAAAAAAGTACTTGTATGTATTACAACAAGTGGCAGGCAAACATTCACAAATGACAATACTGTCAGCATGCCCCATGCTTTGCTTTGTATATTAATACATGTGAAAGACTGGAATCGTGGGAACCACAAATTTTAACCAAAACATATGGGCAATAAACTTTTGCTTGCAAATGTTGGTCTCACAATTTGGAATACTCTACATTACTTTATTTTAGCTGGAACTAATTTTTCATGAAAAGTCTTTTTAAGTATTTTGTATGGAG